GTCATGGGAGCACATGCTTTGTTTAGAAAATAAAGAGGGAAAACACTGAATGGAGATTGGTTCTTTATTCCAGTAGGTAGCTGGGGTGTCCTGGAACATGTCTGCAGTGTAGAAAGGGCAAGCATGTTGCCCTGGGAGCCAAGAGCTTTTAGGCAGGCCAGGAGCAGCACTAGCTTGGGTATCATGCACTTAGTTCCAAGTTGTCCCCAAAGCATTGTCTCAAGGACCTTCACAGTACCACCCAATCTATTTCTTTAGGTTTCACAGATAGGTAGAAAATATTCAAACCAATTTAAGCAAAACCAGTCATGGGGATAGAGGGCAGATACCTGTAATCCCAGCACTTGGAAGGCCAAAGCAGGAACTTGAACTCAGGTCTGAGTTCAAGACCAGCTTGGACTACATAGTGAGAGTGTCTCAAGAAACCAAAAAATACAAACCACACAAAACAAATAAATGCTCTCAAGCATCCCCAATAATTCAGCCTGCTTCTGGGGGCCTCCTGAGATCTCTCTGAATACCTGCTCCAGGCTGACATTCACTGGTCCCTGACGGGGTCATATGCCTATCTCTGAGCCAATCAGCATAATTAAGGAGCTGGCTAAACTGCTCAGATCAGCAGACCTGAAGCCACCATCGCACCCAGAAAATCACAATGAGGGGAGTGAGGCCTGGTGCCTAGGGGGTGCCAGCCAAAATTCAGATCCCTTAGTTAAACCAATTTCAGGGAGACAACAAATTAGTTTTGTAGTGTAATTATGCCCATGAAAGAGTTGAGCTGTATTATATGAATAAGTCATTTATTTCTTTCACATTCAAACTTAAGTGAATGGCCTGGATCCTTGCTGTTAAATTTGACAAGTCTGAGGACTCGTCATAGAGAAGGCAAGATGCTGCTGGCAGGTGCAGGTGGCTGAACCACATAGCATCCCACTGCCACCTGCCAAGTCCCAGTGAGGAACAAGCTCTGGCTACAGAGCCTGCTGTCTGAGGGTCTAGCCTGGTGGTGGAGATCAGCTGGGCTCCTTGGTCTGCCATCAAGGCCCCACCGCCACACCTGTGGAAGAAGGCCGTGTCCACCTGGGTCAAGCTAGAGGCTGTTTGGGGGCCAACAGGTCTCCTGGCTCCGGGCCCAGCTAGGCTGTGACTGCAGTCACCTGGTGGTAACTCCACATTTTATTATCAGCAGCCCTCAACACACACCACCACCACCGCTTGCTGTCATTGCTAAGCAACAGCTATAGGACATCAAGTACTTACCACCAAGCGCCAGACCCCATGCTGAGTACTTCATCATTTTAACAGTGGTATTGCGTGTGTGCTGTGGGCACGTGTCTGGTGTGTACACATGTGCATGTGAGTGCACATACATATGAAAGCCTAGAGTCAGTGTCGGGTATCTCCCATGATTCCCTCCATCTTAGCTTTTTGAAATAGAGTTATCTCACTGATCCTGGCTTTCACAGACTGGCTAGGCTGGCCAGTCAGTGAGTTCCAGGGATCTCCAGTCTAGTTCCCTGTCTCCAACCTAGTAGTGCTGCAGTGACAGACCCAGGCCACTGTGCCCAGTTTTGTTGTTGTTGTTGTTGTTTTCTTTTGGTGTGGGTGCTGGGGATCCGAACTCAAGTCCTCTTGCTCCTGTGGCAAACACTCTACTGAATGAAGCATCCCCTGGCCCTCATGCTGAGTATTGTACAATCCTCATTTCGCTCCATCCTCACAACCTGAGAGCAGTAATCTGCCATTTTCATTTTTTGTTGTTTTTGTTTTGAGACAGGGTCTTACTATATAGCCTTGGCTGGCCTAAAACTCCCTATGTAGACCATGCTGGCCTTGAAATCACAGAGATCTGCCTGTCTCTGCTTACTGAGTGTTGGGACTAAAGGCGTGTGCCACCACACTTGGCTCACAATATCCTATTTAGCAGGTAAGTAAATGGAGGCTGGAAGAAGCAAAGACATCCACAATCACTCTACTAGTAAGTGACTGTCATGGCTTGAAAAGCATCTCTGAAACTCATATTGAAAATTAATAATCCTACCATATGCTGAGTTGGGAATATAGCTCAGTGGTAGAGTGCCTGCCCAACACATGGGAGACCCATTCCCAGAACTAAAGCAAGCAAACAAAAATACCCAGAAAATACTTTGGTGATGGCATTTGGAGTTGTCACAATTGGGTGATAAATGGGATTAAAGTTATCAGAGTGGGCATTACTGGCTTCTATTTTTTATTTACATTCGTGTGTGTGTGTGTGTGTGTGTGTGTGTGTGTGTGTGTATACAAGAGCACGTAACAGTGAGTAGAGCACGGAACTCATGTATGTGGAGGTCAGAGGATAACCTGCAGCAGTCCCCTTCCACCATATGGCTTGCAGCAAGCACCTCTGCCTCCCTGGCCACCTTGAAGAGCTGCATTAGTGGGGTCAATAGGGGAGAGAAAGCTGAGTCTCACCACATGACACTTCTGCCATGTCACGACATCTGAATGCTACCAACTTCCAGAACCTTGAGTTAAATAAACCTGTTTATTAGGATGGGGTGGGGTGGTTTGTTTATTTCATGTGTATGAGTGAGTGCTTTGGCTGTGTGTATGTCTGTATGCCATGTACATGTAGTACCCGCAGAAGCCAGAAGAGGGCATCAGATCCCTCTGGAGCTAGAGGTGGTAAGGAGCCATATGGGTGCTAGGAATCAAACCCAGGCCATGTGGAAGAGCATCCAGTGCTTTTAAGTGTTAAGCCATCTCTCCAGCCCTTGTTGTTTTTGAGACAGTGTCTCATACAGCCCACGCTGTGACCGGCGATGGAAGTCATCAACTAGCTGTTCTGGAAGAATCCGTGGAGAGAGGGGAGCCACTGACCCCAGAAGAGGTTCTGCTCACAGACACTTTGGAGCTATCTGCCATGTGCAAGACAGAAACCACATTGGAACTAGGTTGCCGTCTTTACTCTCAGGAGATGGAAAGGGCCAAGCTGCAGGATGATAGCTTCATTATTAAGGCCCCATTATTAAGGTAGTTCTGACCTGTCAGCCCAGCCAACCTATGCCTGGTCTAGATGTTCTATCCTTCCAGGGACCCCATGAGCCAAGACAATGTATGGTTTTTCCACTTCATCTCCAAAAGGGAAGCTAGGTTAGGTCACTGGAGACTATGAATGAACAAAGAACATGAACTTGCCATAAGTCATTGCTCTCACTACATCTCAGTGACTCTTCAGGTGACCTAAATAAGAGTTGGGAACCATCATGGGGCCATGGAATCTGGCACAAAGAGGGAGTGGATTTCCTTGAATCTAGCCCCAGGTCATCCTTCTAATGCCTAATGCTTCCCACTGGCTCCAGTCACCACAAGTGTGTACTACCAGCAGTACTTGTGACTTCCTGTGCTTCCAGGTCTCACCTCTTCCAGGTTTGACTCCTGCCAGGGACAGTCTGTGACCAACCCATGAGAAACCAAAGTATTTTTCTTAGGGCAAGGTCACAGCTGATATTGTTGTCCATGCCAGCCAAACTAGTTCCCAAGGTATAAGGACAGTCTCAGTGAGACGCTAGCCCTGGTAGCCTCATGGGTGTGGTGCACCACTCCGCAGGGTGGCACAAGCAGGCTGACCTGCTGGGATTAAGTGTCCCCACACGGTGTGCCTCCCAGGCCACATGCCTGCCTCACAGACCTTGTGTCACCTAGGTCATGCACCTCCCACACAGTGTACTAAGAAGACACCCTGGCATTGGGTTATGAGTGTAGATACCATTATCACTAGGCTTGCTCTTAACTCTAGCTTGTCACAAAGCAGTTGGCCTGGGGAAGTCCCCAAACTTATCTAGATTAGAGATATCAGCCTATTCCTCCCAAGGCTATAGTGGGCTTCTCTAAGAGACCCCAGCAAGGAGTAAAGCTTCACCCTTGGGACCTTGGCTTAACTTAGTTCTGACAAGCAGCCCTCTCAGAGGCAATGTTGCCACTCCCACTTTCCTTACCGAGAAGCAGCAGATTTGAGCCAGGCATGGTTGTGTATGCCCCTAACCCCAGCACTGGGGAGGCTGAAGCATGAAGACAGTGAGTTTAAGGCTAGCACTGGCTACAGAGTGAAAAAGAAGTCAGACCTGGTAGTGCAGGCCACTTCTTTGAGAGGCGCAAGGACAGTCACAAGTTCAAGGCTTGCCTGGACTACAAAGCAAGTTTGAATCAGCCTGGACAACTTTGTAAGACATCACCTCAAACTAAAATAAAAAGGGCTGGGACAGTTCAGTGAGAATGCTTGCCTATTATTCATAAGGCTGTGATTGGATCCCCAGCGACACTAAATAATAAATAACCTACTTTGTTCAGGGTAGCCATCTGCTCAGCACAGAGGATAAATCCTGGTTGCTTTAACCGGTGTTTCCCTATTGAATTTGTCCTTCTGGGAATCCCTGAAGACAGTTTTGGTTGTCCCAATGAGAGCTACATGCCTGGTAGCTAGTGGACAGAAGCCAGGCTGATGTAAGGAACAGTTTCCCAGCAAAGTTGTTTGACCCAAAATGCTACAAGAGTTAAGCCTGAGAAATACTGAAGCAGGTCCTGTTCTCCACTTTCCCAGTACCCCTTGCAGCTGGGGCCATACCTTGCAACCAAGAAATGGCCAATACGACCTAGAAGTCAGCAGGGGCTGGTGGGGCATTGCTGATTACATGGAAGAAGGGAGAGCCATGTCCCTCCAACCCATCCCATGGTCTCTCCCTGAACACAGGTGTGACAGTCACACTGCCAGGGTCACCTGCCATGAGCACTGGCAAAGGTCCCTACTCTGTCCAAGTCCTACGTCAGCTGCTGGATCCCCCACCCTCTGACTTCTCATTGTGGAAAAATTAATTCCTCTTGGCTCAAGTCATTCAGGCAATGTTATTTTCTGTTACATATAAGCCAACTACAGCCTTGACAAGTACAGATGCAATAGACCAAAAAGATAAGGGGGGAGGAGATGAAATTTGCATC